AGTTTTGTCAGAGTAGATAAATGTCGAGAGCATCTAAAACGGGGGTTACTGTTTACAAATCAGGGGCTGCCCATTTAAAACAGAAATTAGGTGACAAAAACAAAATTGCTGGAAAAGCTCAGAAGGTCTGGCAGCATCTGTGGAGGAGAAAACAGAGTTAACGTTGCGGGTTCAGTGACCCTTCCCCAGTTCTGAGGAAGGGTCACCGGACCCGAAACGTTAACTCTGTTTTCTCCTCCACAGATGCTATCAGACCTGCTGAGCTTTTCCAGCAATTTTGTTTTTGTTCCTGATTTACAGCATCCGCAGTTCTTTTGGTTTTTAGAAATTAGGTGACCTTTGTTTTCAGAGTCGAGTGTCTTTGGAACTCTCCTCCTGAGAAGGTGGTGAAAGTGGAGCCCGGAATATTTTTGAGGAAGCAGTGGATAGTTTCTTAATAAGCAAAAGGAGTGTCAAGCTAGTAGTGGTAGCAAAGCAGCCATGACCTTACTGAATGGTAGAGTAGGCTCGAGGGACCAAATGGCTTACACCTGCTCCATGTTTGCATATACATTCGTGTGAAAGATGAAAATTGATATAGCACAGAAACGGGTGACTGGGAACAAACAAACTGTGCTGGGCTATGAATAACACTCTCATCTCTTCCCTTTCTAGTACCGCCCCAACAACTCTTTCTATTCCTTTTTCCTCACCATTCACCCTGTCTCCTTTTGGGTGGACCAGTTTGCTTCAACCACATCCTGTGGTGGTCAGTTTCACATTTTAACTGCACAGAAGTTTCTCCTATTTCCAAACTGAAGTTATTTGTGACTGCAATATCTTGTTAAACACACATCCTCTCCATATCTACCTTGTCTACCCCACTCATCACATCTCCCACAATTCTCTTTTCTCAGAAACATGCCCCCAGCCTATTCAATCTTTCCAGATAGCAACCAGCTCTCTGGTTGTAGTATCATTCTTAATTTTTTATGTTTTTACATGCCTTGTGTTCTCTTCATTCTTTTCATAGTAAGGAGTACTGAACTTTCCATAGTAATCATAGTGTGATCTGAGCCAAGTAATATTTACAGTAGAGGAGGTGGATAGTTTGAAGGAAGTTCCGGGGATAATAGTTCATGGACGGGGATTTAATAAAATTAACGTCAGTAAAATATCAGTACTGAGGAAATTAGTGGAATTAAAGAGTGAAAAATCCCAGGACCTGACGGTTTCAATCCAAAGAATGTTAAAAGAAGCAGGGAAAATGACATAATCTTTCAGAGTTCCCGAGGTTCTGATTTGGAAAATTGCACATCACTTCACTTTTTAAGAAGGGCAAAAAAGGTAAGCGAGGGAATTACAGACCAGTTAGCCTGACATAGCTGGAGGGAATTTGTTGCAGTCCATAACCAAGGATGGGGTAACTGAACAGCTTGAGAATTTTCAGTTAATCAGGGAGAACCAGCATGGATTCACGACAGGTAGGTCATGACTGACAAACCTCAATGTTTTAGAACCACAGAAATGATACAGCACAGGTGGCAGCCATTCAGCCCATCTTATCCATGTTGATTCAAAGACACCCAGATGCCCTTTCTAATCCCATCTCCATGCACACGGCCCATAGCGACGCAGGTCACAGCACTTAAGGTGTAGATCTAAGTAAGTTTCAGAAGAGTTTAGGGTTTCTGCATCCACCACCAACTCAGGTAGCGAATTTCAGACACACACCAACCTCTGTGTAAAACAAAAATTCCTCACGTCCTTTCTAACCCTTCTGCCACTTTGCTTCAACCTGTGAGCCCTGGTTTTTGAACTCTCTGCCAAGGGAAACGGGTTTCTCCCGTCTATGCTATCTCTACCCCTCACAGTTTTGTATACCTCAATCATGTTACGCCTCAGCCTTCTCAGTTCCAAGGAAAAGAACACCAACTTCTCCAATCTCTTCTCATAGCTACAATTCTCCAGCACTGGCAACATTCCAGAAAATTGTCTTTGCACTTTCTCCAAAGCAATTGCATCCTTCCTGTAATGTAGTGACCAGAACTACACACAATACGCCAGCTAAAGAGGTGACTAAGGTAGTGGACAGGGGAATGGCTGTGGATGTTGTTTATTAAATGCCTTCTGAAAGTCTACATAAATCCTACATGACAGGCTTTTAACTGAAGTAGTAGCCCATGGAACTGAGGGCCAGTTACTGATACGGCTGGGATGTGGTTCAGCGAGTGAAAGGGGGAGAGCAGAGGGATAAAATAGGTAGGTACTCAAATTGGCAGGATGTGAGCAGTGATGTCCCACAAGGATCTGTGTTAGGGCCTCAATTATTGACATTATTTATTAACAACTTGGATAATGGCAAACAAAGTCATATATCCAAAGTTAAACAGCATTGGAGACATCATTAAATTACAAAAAGGTATTGATAAACTAAGTGAATGGGCAAAAACTGTAGCAGGTGGATTTCAACGTAAGCATGTTTGAGGTTATCCATTTTGGACCGGAAAAGGATCGATCAGGGTACTGAAATAACTCCACAGAGGGCAGTATTCAGTCATCAAATCCCCCTTTATGTGCGGACGGTCCTTGACACTGTTCCAGCTCTGAGTGAACAGAATGTCTGACACTCCTGTTTATATCTGTCAGCCAGGGTTCCCTGATTGGACCAGATTAACAGCCCCAATCAGGGAACTCATGTTATGAGATCCACTTGGCTGATCTCAATACAATCGCTACATCTCTCCCGATCTGAGTCCTAGGACATAGGCCACTTCTGTTTTTAGTAGCTTCTCCTGGGGCATTTTAGCACCAGGTCATGTTCCTCCAACTCTGCCTGATATGGGTGGCATGTAACAAAGCTAATTGCATCTTGTGCCCGCAGCATCTCGGAAGAAATTCACTCCGATTCTCAGGTGGCAAAGGTGTCGAGGCAGCGGTATCCGATGTTTCCATCTCAGATTCCGAGGTACCTTCAACGCTTAATGAAAGGGAGAACCCACGGGTACTGGAACAGTCAGAAAGGCTGTTGAGCAGCCGGGCATGTTTTGCTCCCGCACCATTTGTGAGTTTGCAGCTTTTATATGGTCCACATGTTTGTTCAGGACCATCACACCTACCTCAACTTTGTACAACATGGGACCTGAGCTTGCATCGACTGTGTCATTCCTGCGGTTCCTAAACCAAACTTCATCTCCTAAAGTAAACCGTCTCTCTCGCTTAACGGAGTCTTGTGTCTGGGATTGGTGTTCCTGATGCTATTTCACCCCGCCCACCCCTCAAGGTGTGGGAAGATCAGATTTAACCTTGTTCAGAGTATTCTCCCCATTAGCCACTCCGCTGGTTGCATGAAGCCTATAACCAAATAGGAACCAGGACAGTTTGGTATCTAGTGAAACTGTAGGCTGGTTTTTTTAAGCCTGCCTTCAATGTTTGGACTGTACTTTCTGCCAGACTATTGGATGATCGATGTTATGGAGCTGTCCTTACATGCTGAATACCATTCAACTTTAGGAAATACTCAAATTCCCTCCTGGTAAATGATGGCCCATTATCTGTGACCAACATTTTGGGAGTCCTTGCACTGCAAAAGTGCACAGAATTTTTCTATCGCTGTCCCTGAGTTTGATGAATGAACTCTATGCACATTCAAGACAACAAGGTGCAGGGCTGGATGAACACAGCAGGCCAAGCAGCATCATAGGAGCAGAGAGGCTGACGTTTCGGGCCTAGACCCTTCATCAGCTTTTCTGATGAAGGGTCTAGGCCCGAAACGTCAGCCTCTCTGCTCCTATGATGCTGCTTGGCCTGCTGTGTTCATCCAGCCCTGCACCTTGTTGTCTCGGATTCTCCAGCATCTGCAGTTCCTACTATCTCTATGCACATTCAGCCACTTTGAGTGGGTGCCCACAATGACTAAGAACATTGAGCCCATGAAAAAACCTGCATGGTTGACATGTAACCAAGTCCAGGGTTTACCCAGCCATTCCCACAAATGTAGGGGAGCTGCTGGCTATATTTTTGTCCTTGTTGGCACTCTGAGCACTGCCCCACCAACACAGCTATGTCTGCAAACAGTCTTGGCCACCAGACATAACTTAGTCATACAGCATGGAAACAGACCCTTCAGTCCAACTAGTCCCACCCGCCTGTGTTTGGTCCATATCCCTTCAAACCTTTCCTATTCATGTGCTATTTATTTATACCCCTAGTTTTGAATTTCCCCACCCTAGGGAAAAGACCTTTACTAGTCACTTTAACTACGCTCCTCATAATTTGAAAACCTCTTTAAATCAGTGAAAAAAGTCCCAGTTGATTTAGCCTATTTTTATACCTGGTAAATCTTTTCTGAACCCTCTCCAGTTTAATAATATCGTTCCTATAACAGGGCAACCAGAACTGCACACAGTACTCCAGAAGAGGCCTCACCAACATCCTGTACAACCTCAACATGACGTCCCAACTCCTGTACTTAAAGGTCTGAGCAATGAAGGCAAGTGTGCTAAATGCCTGAACTTCTCACCAACATCTTCAGTTTGGAAACCCGTAGATGATCCTGATAGATTTCAGCCAGTATCTGGTGGCAACCTTTGCTTAGGACAATCACTCTTGCTTCCCGTAACAATATGTCATCCTCTACTGTGACCTGGTCTCTCTGGGTCCGAAAAGGTTTCAATTCTGGCTGTGATGGCCCTTTGGTTCCCCCATCATCACCAGCTGCTTCAGTTTTGCCAGGACCCAATCTTTCTGTGTCCAAAGGGTCAGCTGTGACTGGAAGTATTTCCAAAAAATTTAAAATAATACAGACTCTTATAATGGCGGTACCACCAGCGATATATCTGTCTGTGGGAGGTGGCTCAATGCATCTGCATTTGCTATTTGGCCTCCTGGATGGTGTTCCAACTTGTAATTATACACACTTAGTATTAGAGCTTAGTATTTGGCCTGAAACATTGGGCAGCACTGCCTTGTTCTCTTTAAGCAGACCTAATAGGGGTTTGTGGTCCGTTATTATTACAAATTCACGTCCGTAAAGGTATAGGAGGAATTTCCTGACTCCAAATACGACTGCCAAACCTTCAAGAAGAACAAAGAACAAAAGAGAAATACAGCACAGGAACAGGCCCTTCGGCCCTCGAAGCCTGTACTGATTATCATACCCTGACTAAATTAAACAATAAGCCTTCTGTCCTTATTCAATCCGTATCCCTCTATTCCCTCCCTATTCATGTAACCATCCAGATGCCTCTTAAATGTTGCCAATGTGCCTGCTTTCACCACTTCCTCTGGAAGTGCATTCCACACTCCTACCATGCTCTGCATGAAAAACTTTCCTCACACATCTCCCTTAAACTTTTGCCCTCTCACCTTTAACCTGTGTCCCCTTGTAATTGAAACTTCAACCCTGGGAAAAAGCCTCTGACTCTCCACCCTATCTATGCCTCTCATAATTTTGTAGACCTCTATCAGGTCTCCTTTCAGCTGCTGTGTTTCCAGTGAAAACAGTTCTAGTCTTTTTAACCTATCCTCATTGCCTTCTCTATCTGGACGTATTTATGCTCTGCATTAGCTAAAGTCCTGGAAGTATACATCATCGGGGGTTCCGCTCCATTGGGCCACCTATGAGCTAATACTACCCTGATGCCGTAAGGGGGGGGCATCACATGTCCACACCAGATCGGGATTGGGATCATAGTGTGCCAACACCTTAGAGGATGATAGATGCTTCTTCACTTCCCAGAAGGCTATGGCTTGGCTACGCAGCCATTTCCAAGGCTGACCATTTAATAGCTGATGCAAAGGTGCCAGGATGGAGGCCAGGTTATTTATGAACTTTCCATAATAATTCACCAGCCCAAGCAAAGACCTAAGCTCCAGTACAGAGGTGGAAGTTGAAGCACCTTCAATTTCCCTTGCTTTAGCTTCCAAGGGGTGTAACCTGGTCTTGTTAACTCTGTAGCCCAAGTCAGTCACTTGGGGTGCCTGGAACACAATTTTTTCCCATCTAAGGCGTACACCCGCCTGGGAGAAACGCCCAAGTTTTCCAAGCATTCTTTATTGGTCCTCCCTGTAATGAGCACTCCATCTAGATAAATGGCGACCTGGGTAGACCTTGTAAAATGTTCTCCGTCATCTGCTGAAAAATTGTACAGGCTAACAATGCCCCAGGTGGCAGTCTTGTATATTGGTACAAACCCTCATGGGTATTAATTGCAACACACTTCTGGGAATCCTCATCTCACCACAATTGCAGGTATGCATGGCTCATGTCTAGCTTTGTGAGGGACAGTCCCCTTGCCAGCTTTGTGCATAAATCCTCTGCGAGAGGGATTGGGTATTTATCCAGCTGTGAAAAACCATTTGCTTAAAATCCCCACAAAGGCGAACTGACCCAGTGGGGTTCACAGTTGGTACGACCGATGCCGCTCATTTCGCAAACTGGACTGCTTTGATGATTCAGAGATAACAAGGTGTAGAGCTGGATGAACACAGCAGGCCAAGCAGCATCAGAGAAGCAGGAAGGCTAACGTTTCGGGCCTAGACCCTTCTTCAGAAAATTCCTTCGCTTTCCAGCCTTGTGATTTCTGCCTGTACCTTTGCCTGTAAGGCAAGTGGCACATAGTGGACCTTGCAGAACCATGGAATTGTTTCCTGGTCAACATGCAAGGTGGCCTTGGCACCTCTGATAGTCCCTAGACCTTCCTGAAAAACTTCTGGGTATTTAATTAGGACTTCGCTCAGGCAGCAATTTTCTAATCGATAAATGTTGAGCCAATCTAGAAGAAACTTTGTCAACCAATTTTGCCCCACCAAGCTTGGGCCTGAGCCTTTTGCTACAATCAGTGGTAACTGAACCAGCTGTTTCTCATTAGATACCAGAACCAAGGTAGTGCCCTTAAACTATAAGGGTTCCACAGTACAGGTTCTCAGCCTGGCCGAGGTATGGCTCAAACTTAAGGGTTGGTGTCCAGAGTGAATTTTGTTAAAGACTGGTTCTGTAATCATTGAAACAGCCTCGCCAGTATTGACCTCCATTAGAATTGGATGACCATTTAATCAGATGTTTATTTTGATTGAGTCTGATTTGGATGTTGCTAAGAAATTTAACTTTTCCAAGCCAGATATAGGTGGATTTTCACAGTGTACACTCTCCTGGATACCGGCCTATGAATTCTCTTATTCAATTTAAGTCTAATGGGACTCTTGTTGTCTCGAGTCCACGTAGTAGCAGCAACTACAATGGCTTGCCAGCCCAGATCCTGAAGAAAATTTTAACTGTTTGGCCAAGGTTTGACTTCGTTCTGGGGTTTTGCTGCAGGTTGACCTAGAGTCTCTCTGTTCAGGATATGTCCTACGCAAGGCTTTGCAATTGCCTTTACTCAAGTGATGTTCCCCAAGCTCAGTTGGACTGGCGAGTGTGTCCACTTCCATTGGAATACCATGTAACTCATCAGCTCCACTTTCCCATGATGAAATTAGTTTTAGGACTTGTTTGAAGTCTAGCTGAGCTTCAGCTAGTAGGCGCCTTTGCATGGTTACATCATTAATCCCATTTTCATCACCACTAAAATAACTCCACAGAGGCCAGTATTCAGTCACAAAGTCCCCTTTTATTTACATGTGGATTGTCCTTGACACTGATCCAGGTCCCTCAGAGTGAAAAGGATGTCTGACACCCCTGTTTATATCTGTCAGCCAAGGCTCCCTAATTGGACTAGATTAACAGCCCCAATCAGGGAACTCTTATTCTATGAGGTCCACCTGGTTGATCTCATTACAATCACTGCAGGTACTTTCAGGATGGTATGAAGTTAAATACAGTGGATGTCTAAAGGGACTTGGGGGTTCAGGGTGCACAGACCTTTAAAATGTCACAAACTGGTGCAGAAACTATTCAATGAAGCTAAGGGAATGGTGGTCTTTATATCTAGGGGACTGGAGTATAAGGACGCAGAGGTTATGCAGCAGCTGTACAAAACCCAGGTTAGGCCCCACTGGGTGTACTGCGGGTGGACCTGGGCACTACACCTTAGGAAGGATAGACTGGCCTTGGAGGGAGTACAACATAGGTTTACAAGAATGATACCTGGACTTTAGGGGTTAAGCTATGAGAGATTATACAAATTAGGCCTGTTTTCTCTAGAATTTAGAAGTTTAAGGGATGATCTGATCAAAGTCTTCAAGATATTAACAGGAAAAGACAGGGTAGATAAAGATAAATTATTTCCACTGGTTGGGAATTCTAGAACTAGGGGCATAGTCTGAGAATTAGGGCCAGACTGTTCAGGGGAGATATTAGGAAGCATTCCACAAACAAAGGGTGGGAGGTTTGGAACTCTCTTCCACAAATAGTAGTTGATGATAGAGGTATATGGAGTTAGGCCACATTTCAGTCACAATCATATTGAATGGTGGAACAGACTTCAGGGGCTGAACGATCTCCTCCTGTTCCTATAAGTTTAATGTAACTCACTACTCTTGAGTTTTATATTCTGGAATTAAATCCCAGTGTTTTGATTCTATTTTTACTTGCTTTGCTGCTCTCTGATGCTCCTTTTAATGATTTGCTCATTTGAATTCCTCGATCCCTTTAGCCTTCTCCATTCGCTATTTAATTTTCTAAGGTTAGTGGATATTCCATTCTATTAAAGGGAATGACATCCCAGTAACAGAGACATTAAGCACAGAAGAGGCCCTTCAGCCCATCGAGTCTGCACCAACCTACGTACACTGCTCCCACTTTCCAGCAGTTAGCCTATAGCCTTGAATGTTATGACATTTCAAGTGCTCATACAAGTACTTTTTAAAGGTTGGGGTATTTCCTGCCTCTACTATCCTCCCAGGCTGTGCATTCCAGACCCCCACCAACCACTAGGTGAGAAACGTTTCCTCAAATCTCCCTTAAATGTTCTGCCTTTCACTTTTAAAATTAACTTTCAATCAAGGGGAACAGCTGTTTTGTATCCACCCTGCCTATGCCCCTCATAATCAGATTACCCTCCATCCCAGCCTTCTCTGCTCTAAAGAAAACAACCCAAGCTTATCCAGCCTCTCTTCATCGCTAAACTGCTCCATTCCAGGCAACATCCTGGTAAATCTCCTCTGCACCCCATCCACTGCAATCATATCCTTCCTATAGTGCTGTGATCTAACCAAAGTCCTATACAGCTCCAACATAACCTCCCTGTTCTCATAATCTATGCCACGACTGATAGAGGCAGTGTCCCACACGCCTTCTCAATGACCCTATTAACCCACCCTGCCACCTTCAGGGATTTGTGATCAAGCACCCTAGACCTCGCAGTTCCTCTGAGCTTCCTAGTATTCTGCCATTCATCGAATGCTCCCTTGTCTTGTTCCTTCTTCACTTATACTAAATTTCATTTGCCCCTTAATCACCCAGTCTGCAAGTTTTCTATCATCTTGTATTTTGTGTTTTTCAGTGTTAGCTTTGCCCCCCAAATTGGTATGAACTGCTAGACTTTATACTGAGTTGCTCATTTTGAAATTGATGTCCTTAATTTAAATGATATAAAACAGTTGGTTCAGCACAGATCCTTTTAGAACAGAGTCTTTTTTGCATTCTTTCTGGAATGTGAATGTCACTGGCTGGGCCAGCATTTATTACCCATCCCTAATTGCCCTTGGACAGAGTATCTTGCTTGGCCATTTCAGTTAAGAGTCCTAAAGCACATTTGTGAACCAGATGGATTTTTACAACAATCAATGATAGTTTCGTCATTGCCCACTAGAACGAAGACCAGCTTTCAATCTCAGGTTTGTTAATTGGATTTAAATTGACCCATGTGCCCACAGCATTAGTTTGTATCTCTGGATTACTAGTCCAGTGGCATTACCACTTTGCCACTGTCGTTTTTTTTCAATCACTAGCTTACTGTTCTTTTTGGATTTTAGCCAATTTGCTATCACTTCAGTACTTGTCCTAAAACTTCTTTGCGTGCTACATTATTGAGGACTTAATGACATCCAGTGTGTTTTCCCTCTTGTTCATTTTGTGAAGGTTTCTATCAGGTTATTAAGCAGATTCTAGCCTTGGAGAATCCCAATGTCTTAAA